TATATCCAGTTGTGTCATAACAATTTGTTGAAACGCATCCTTTCCACAGGGGGTTGCTCATCCACTTTTGTGGAAAGCCACGTGACCACTAGACAGAGTTCTGTTTCTGGACGCTACAGTTCCTTAGATCTTTTGTTCATCTTTACATCAATACAATGCTGTCCTGACTACTGTAGCTTTGTGATACATTTTGAAGTCATGTAGGATTTCTCCTCCAAATTTTTCAAAATGTTTTGGCTATTGTAGGTCCTTTGCAGTTAAATATAATTTTGCAACCAGATTTGTCATCAACTTGCCAAAATAAAACAAGCCTATCTGGACTTTGGTTGAGAGTGCATCACCTGAAACCCATAAATCAACGTGGAGGAAACTGACTCTTAAGGATATTGCTTCCTATCCACCAACCCTGTGTTTTCCATGTAGGTCTTCATGAATTCTTCTCAGCAATATTTTATATTTTACTCTACAGGCCTTTCGTATCTTTTATTAAGTTTTACTAGAGGCCCAAAAATTCCTGCACTGGAAGTGGGGTTCTCTCAGCCCAGCCTGCCCCCTCTCACAGTCTGGGAGCCCTCATGTACAGGTGTCCCTCATTCAGGCGCCATGTGCCAGGGTTCTTTGCCCAGCTTTACTAAAGGTTCAGCATTCTGGAGAAAGGGGCTGATGCATAGATTCAAGGAGGAGTCCAAAGACAAAAGATCATTTGGAACGGCATTGGAGGTCAGAGGAGCTTCAGCTGAAGGAGCTAGAAGACTACTTCCTTGTCTAGGACCCCATACTATTTATTAGCACAATTTGTCCTAAGGCAAGGTGGAGATATACACTTCAAAATGTGAGGTTTTAAAGCGTATACAGAAGCATTGTCAGTTTGAGGAATAGCCTACAGCTGTTCAGGTGTTTGACCCACTGGAGGCAATAAAATGCCCTGAGCTGCCTGGTAGCAGATAATCCTATTCAGGTTCAGGGAGATACCGTTTAGCCATTCCAACAGGTAAACTACATATGAGGCTCACCCTCGAGCTGCTCAAACTCCACCAACCTTTTGGCAAACCTTTTGTAATTATTACATGCTGGAATTGGTTCCTGGCACCCTCAGGGATGGGAGACAAACCAGCCATCAGGGCAAGGTGATGTTCCCATCACATCTCTGCTGCTGCCACTGCCAAAAGTGCAACATTGGCTGGCACAGGTTAGGTGAGCCTCAGGCGGCCCTGGGCGGATGGGCAGGCAACATCCAAAGTTTGCCTGCACCTGGGGCCAGTCCAGGGTGGCTGGGTGCCTAGGGGGCTGCGGGGACTTGGTGCCATCATCTTTGAGGGCATGGCAGTCAAGTAGCATATTCTCTCCTTATTGATTGTGGGCACTGCCATCTTTTGAGGGTGTGGCAGTCAATTAGCATACTCCCACTTTATTAGATAGGATTCCTAAGATTTTTAATAATATTAGACATTACTGTGAATTGCATTTTCTATTCAAGAATATAGAAATAGAATTAATTTTTGTATATTTATGTTATATCCTGCAACCATACTAAACTCGCTTAACCCTTTGGTAGACACTCTGAGATTTTCTACACGTCATCTCTAAAAATAGTTTTACACTTGAGCTTAGTCAAAGTAGTGCTTTCATCTCCATCATTTTTGGCATTTGGTCATTTCTTTCTCTTTTTCCTTTTCAGTCTAGACAGGTGTATGAATTGTTTTTGAGCTTCTCTATGATCCTGCTTTTGGTTTATATAACTTTTTCCCAGTGACATTGATTTCTGCTCCACCTTTGTTATTTCCCTTCTTCTGCTTATACTTTTACTAGAGACCAGGTCACGAATTCACTCATGGCTGGGGTTCTCCCAGGAGAAGGGGATGTGAGAGGTTGGCGGGCCAGGTCTGTCCCCAATCAAGATATTGGTGGGCTGGGAAAGGCCCCAGAGACACTGACTCTGCTGGCACCTTGACCTTGGAGTTTCCAGTCTCAATAAATGTTTGCTTAGTCCTCCTCTTCTACATAGCTCCAGAAGCAGCCTGAGTGCACTAGGACAGTATGTCCAGTCTGTGTCCACTCAGAACTCTGTGCTCGTCGTGTTTAGACTGTAAATATATAGTTTTCATCTGAGGTACCATTTACTTTCAACTCAGCAACTTTCAGAACGCAGGGCCGTCAGCAGCTCCACCACAATGTCCGCGCCAACTGCAAAGGGACAGGCACCTCTACACACGGCCGGGGCCCAGCAAGAGCAAAGGCAACTTCCCACAGGCCTCAGAGGCCAAGACTGCAGGTCCATGACTTCTCACTGAAGAACTGCATGTGTGTGCGCATGTGTGTGTGCATGTGTGTGCCTCTGAGTGTGTGTGTGTGTGTGTGTGTGTGTGTGTGTGTGTGTGTGTGTTGGGTAAGCTATAAGTTGAGGGTTGGGGAAGAGGTCCTTTGCTGGAGCTGTGTGAGGGGTTTCTGGGGTCCAGGGTGTCTGGAGAAGTGGGAGGGCATTCAGCCAGGACGCAGCACTGCTCTGCGGAGACCCCTCTCTCACTGCTCTGTTCACGCCACCCCTCGGTCAGGAAGAGGGATCACCAAGAGGGGAGCCTGTCCCTGGGAGAGCACACAGTGTGAACGCGAGGACATGGGGGGTACTGGACCCTGAGTTCAGCCCAGAGGGTCCTTGAAAGTGGTGGGGGGCACTTTCCCAGGATCAGGGTCCTGTTGGGCTTTGGATGGTCACGGGCAGGGCGCCCTGCAGATCCCGTGTCTCAACCACAAGCCTGTACTGAGCGCCCAGGGCCCAGCATGTGCGCTGCGCAGTGTGGGGAGGCTCCTGAGACCTGTTCAGGTCAGTAACGAAAGAGAGCACTGGTGTGCAGGCGCTTTATTGAAATGAAGGTGCAGGAGGTTTCAACAATGTCTTGCGGTTTCAGAATCAAAAGGCCCAGAGGGTGCTAAGCTGTGGTCTCAGCAGAGGAGAGTCCTGTCTGGCCATTCTCTGTGGTCCGAGGAAGGTCTGTGGGCTAGTAGGCGGCACACTGCTTGCTGCTGTATATGGTTTCCTAAAAAACAGACAGAGTCACTCCCTCCCACTCTCCCCCAAGCCATCCTAAGCACAGACATGACCTCTCCCTGTCCTTCAGCCACGGAGAGAACGGGGCGCGGGTTCAGCCAGGATCTCCCCTTGTTTCGGGGCTGAGGAGGCACAGCCTGAGGCCAAGGCCGTGCTGCCGAGACCCGGCCGTCCCCCCGAGACCCCGGGAGCTGGTCCCTGCGTGGTTCCTCCACAGTGAACGAGGCCTCCTGTGCCCAGGCCGCACTGCCCCTGCTCTGTGTCTCAGCCCCATGAGCATGTGTTGGTCTGCGGGCCTGCACCCTGATGCCGGCTACGTCCTTGTAGCCACGGAGCTGAGGACACGCACAATTGAGGGGCTTGTCTGACCCCCATTTGCAAAGAGAAGGGCTGTCACCTCCATGGAGGGTGCTGAGACTTTCAGCTGGAACCACGGTGAAGGCTTGTCCCAGAAGCAGGACCCTTCCCTCCTCCATGTACTGCTTCATCCTGTGACGGTCCCCATTTCCAACGCCCTCTACTCTCGCCAAAGGGCAGCACCAGGCCCTGAGTGCCCCACCTTTTCCCTCTCTCCTCCCCGGCGGCCCTGCCTGCCTGTGCCTCAGAGACCTGCCACCGCACACAGCCCAGCAGTGCCTTACCCCACCCGCTTGGCTTCATTCTCCTTCCTCGGCTCCCCAGCTCATAGGCAGCTGGCATCAGGAAGCACCTCGTCACACACAGTGTGTGTGTCTCTGCTGTGGCCAACTCTCCCCTGGCTGCCCTGGGCTGTTCCCACGGCTATTTGGGGGGAATGAACCCCAGGAAAGAACTGAGCCCTATCTGCTCTAAATAGAAAGATGGTCTCATCGTTACACTGACTCTGGTTTTCAACGATACCACACCACCCATGGCGCTTCTCAGCCACCGTTTCCACTCCTGGGCCATCGTCCTGCCCAGGACATCCAGCCACCCACACTGGCAGACGTGGTGCTCGAAGGACCTGGGCACCGCGCTCCTGAGAGGGGCTCTTGATGACGTGTAATTCTCTGCTCTCTTAAGAAAAGGCTTTTTCCAAAAATGTAATTTTATTGGTTTCAGAGAGGGAGGGAGAGAGAGAATGGAACATCAATTTTGAGAATCATTGATTGGCTGCCTCCTGCACGCCCCCTACTGGAAATTGAGCCCGCAACCCAAGCATGAATCCTTGACCAGAATCAAACCAAGGACAAAGCTCTATGCCCTGAGCAAAACCACCTAGGCAGTGGTTGGCAAACTCATTCGTCAGCAGAGCCAAATATCAACAGGACAATGATTGAAATTTCTTTGGAGAGCCAAAGTTTTTAAACTCAAACTTCTTCTAACGCCACTGCTTCCAAACAGACTCGCCCAGGTCGTGGTATTTTGTGGAAGAGCCACACTCAAGGGGCCAAAGAGCCATATGTTGTTCGCCAGCTGCAGTTTGCCGACCACTGGCCTAGGGCTTGAGAAAATGCTTTAAAATGCTTTCCTACGTGTTTCTCACTTTTAAACTCCAGAGGCCTCTTGAGAATCAGAGATTTGGGGGCGGAGGGGTAGGCAAGCCTTTGCCACACGCTCTCCTCCCCCGTGGCCTTTCTCACATACAGACTCCTCCCCGTGAGCAGGCACAGCAGCCCGCCCCTGGCATGGCTCTCCGGATGTCAGACTGTTCACACTCCCAACAACCCCATTCCCTGAGAGGACATGAAGCATGACCAACACTTGCGTTCAAGACTCCAGTACCGCCCTCGCTGGATGGGCTCAGTGGATAGAGCACTGGCTTGAAGACTGAAGGGTCCTGGATTTGATTCCAGTCAAGGGCACATGACCGGTTGTGGGCTCAATTCCCAGTACTTGACGTGCAGCAAGCAGCCGCCCATGATTCTCTCTCATCACTGAAGTTTCTCTCCCTCTCTCCCTCTCCGTTCCTCTCTGAAATCAATAAAAATACATCTTAAAAAAAATAGTAACTAAGAGAAAAGTAGTTTGTAGAGAACTGAGAGCCCACTGATTTCTGGCCAGAGCGGGAAGGAGAAGCCACCATTACCATTAGCACGCCAGCATTGGTCAGGGTTTCCTCGTTCTGGTCGAGAAAGCACTGCTTAAACTCCCTGAGGGCCATCTCAGTGATCCGACCCGGGATGTACTTCTCAAGGTCTTGGATGAATTCAGTCTTGGACTCTTTGGGATCAAGGGTAATTTTGATCACATTCTCTAAGTCTTGGCAGCCAGAATCTGGGAAGAAAGCACACAAAAGCCGGCTCAGATCCGAAGGCACCACCTCCTTGCTGGGCGTAGCCAGGACGATGGCCTTCTTACCTCCCAGCAGAGACAGACACTCAGGGAGCTTATGGACAATGGTCCGAGTCCTCCCTTCTGAGAGATCAAACTCTGGGTCTAGGGTGTTCTCTGGCTCCAGGACATCTGCCTCCTTGTCCCGCCTCCCACACCCAACGCCCCAGCTCCCTGGCTTCCACAGCCCAGAGAGCCAAACACGACTGAGGCAAGAAGAAAGCAGGGAAATGAGGCGCTCTGGGCTGGGGTTTGGGGAGCAGGAGGTCTGCCCCAGGGGCCCTGACACTTACCTCCCCACAAAGCCTGAAGCTGTCACACTCACCGGCATAGCAGAAAAGGGGGAGGGCAGTCAGCATGAGCACTATCACCAGCTTCATGGCTCAGGCAGCTGCTGCTGGCTGGTCACTCGGACGTGGCAGGGAAGAAGGACTCACTTTGGAGGTGAGAGCCCCGACCCTCCTTTTATTCTTCTGGCGGCCACTTAGTCCCTCCCACAGATGATGGAATGAGTCACGGGATGGACCTGGCATCAGGCCCAGGAAGGACAGGGAGAATCATCTAGAACCCTACCACCTTATGGTCTCTTTGTAGAAACCAAGGAGTCAGAGCCTGAAAAACCCTCATAGATTTCATATTGGCAATCACGGAAATGAAATTACATAAAATTAATGCTGAAATGCTTGCTAAATACAGTAAGTTACTACACTATGCGTCTGTGTTGTCATTCTTGTTTTATTAATATTGGGTCCTCATTTGCCTCTTCCTCCTCCTCCAGCTCTCCCTCCCCGTCCACCTGTCTCCTCCCCTCCCCTTCTCCCTCCAGCCCCCTTACTCCTCTCTGTTTTCTTCTGCTTCTTCTATAAGGCACAGAGATCTTCACATTCTCTTCCTGGGCCTCCTGCCTCACCCAGCACCTGGGCTGGGTGCAATACCAGCCAGCACCTGTGGAGGGCACATGTTCCTCACCCATGGACTAAGTCAGGTGCCTTTTGCTGGGAAATAGCAATAGCTTCTCACTTGGTTAAAGGTTGTTTGTACAAAGATGATCTCTTAGTTAAGCCAACTCTAGAAATTTATGAATGTTGTGAATGTAGAAAATTATGAATGCAGAGTTACATTTTGTTCAGTTTTGTTAGCTTTAGGGTTTTCCTTCCACTCATTCAGGAGATGATGTGAGAAGTAGAATCCCTAATGCTTAAGGGAGGCAGCACTGGATGGTGGGAGATATCTGGGCGCGTGCGTTTAGATGTAGATTTATATCTTGGATGCCACCGCTAACCACAAGGTGACCTTGGGAAAGACAGTGTAGCTTGTCCCGAGCTTCAATTTCCACAAGCAGAATGAATGAAACTGAGGCGGCTTTTGTATGAGTGCCAGGCACTCCATGTAGAAGCCGAGCACAGGGCCTAGGAAGGGTAATCATGACTAACCCACAAGTTTCATCTACACATCTATGAATCCATCCAGGCACACATACATACATCCTTTCATCCACCATCCATCCCTCCATCCATTAATCTATCCATCCACCTGTCATCCACTCACCCATTCTTCTATCCATCCAATCATCCATCCATCCATTCACCCATCCATTCATCCCTATAAGCATCCACGTTCAAAACAACCATCATTCTCCTAAGCCTGGGTCCTGTGCTCATGTCACAGATTCAGATATAGAGACAAAGTAGACTGAGACCTTGCACCAGTGCAGCTTAACTCGAACTGGAAGTCAATAAACAAGCTTCCCATTGAAATCTATCTAATAAAAGAGCAATATGCAAATTGCCCACCACTCCAACATACAAAATGCCTGCCCGCCCTGGTCAAAGATGGCTGCCCCCATATGGATACAGCCATCGTGGCTTCAAGTAAAGCAAGAGACATGGGTGGGAGCGCCTTAGGGGTGAGCAACAGTTAATGAGCTTTGAATGCACTGTCCTCTCTGTGGATGTTTTGTGGGCCCATTTCTTTCCATCATTCAGCTGCACCCTAAGTTGCCAAGCACAATATTGACTTAGGAAGATTCTAGGAATAGGGAAGGTGGTGTTCTTCTGTGTGTATTCTCTCCCAGTTGACCATTGTTGGCCATCATTCCAAAGGCAAATGAATGACATTCATAATGAATGGGAGACTTCCTCCTTGAACAGGACTCAGGGAGGGCTCTGCTGGTTCCCCGTGGTTATGGGCCTGGCCTGTTGTCTGCTGGACATTGGGCCTCCTGGCAGAAGCAACTCCCTGCCATGGACACTGAGTCTGTGTTTCTTGACTTCCATGTTTTCTCCAAAGCCCACGATGACTGCGCTCAGGTGTCTAAGAACCATGACTCGGCTCACAAGAGACTCATTTAAAAGAAGTGTTCACAGCAGAAATAGATAAATCAAAAGGTCACATGATGTATTGCTGGCCTGAGGCTCTCTGCTCCCAAAGATCCTTAGACTCAGGTCCCCAAATTCAGATCAGAAACTGGAGCACGGAAGTCAACTTTGGTTTCCGTGTGGGTGTGACATCTCTTGGCCAACTGCTGTGACAGACCATGCTGTAGAGGTGAGCTATCCAGTCAGAGGGGGACGTAATGTGCGGGTAGAATTCTATTTGACCAGTACTTGGGCTCAACCAAGACCTAAGGAGACCCACACTAATCTTTTTCATTTGAGGTCTTGCCATCGTTAATAAAAGTAATGACATTCAGTGAGATTTATTTTCATTTCAGTGATTCACTCAGAATAAAATCGACACAAGGATCTTTCGTGTATATGATCCTTGAATTTCTCACTCATTGTATGTTAGTTGAAGAAGTTAGTTCTATGGTATTTGGACACAAGAAACTTTCCACTTTACTTCCCCCCAATTCTGTAAACGGGCTTTGCCCTCGCTTCTGAGGTCAACGGTGTCCTCGGAGGTGAGCCTCTTCTTCCTTAAGATCCTGCCAGCATCTGGAGGCTGGCCAGGGAGGTGCTTTCCCAGGACGAAATGCACGACAGCCCCTGGGCCTGGAGACATCTTGATGGCAGTGAGAGGTTTATTGCTATTGGTGCTTTCCATGCCTTTAGCCAAGCCTGCGGTGGGCTGTCACTGCGGGGTCTCTTGGCACAAGGGGAAGAGGCCTAGGCTTGTTGTGAGGCCTGAATGACTTGCAGCCCAGAAGTCCTCAGAACGGGGCTGGGCACAGAGTAGGTGCTAGCTACACATCAGCTGATAGCGATTAATTATAAACCTGAGAGGGCTCTTCCATTAAACCCAGGAGGCCTAGGAGGACCACTACAGACGATGGAACTCCCTGCTCCTCTCCATCCTCCAAGAGACAAAGAGATCATCCCGTTCAGATACGAAGGGAAAGGTCAAAGTTGAAAGTTAAGCACCGTATTTGGATCCATTCTTACCTGATATCTTTCTGACTCCTTGAAAGAGCTTCTTGAGATCCAGTTTACGCAGACCTTCTCTTTCGAACACAGTCTACATAGCTTTGGCCTATGGACCTTCTCAATACCCAGCTGCTCCCTGTGCTACATCTTCCAGGTTCAGGAGAGCATGATGGCAAATAATGAGACAGCGCTCACTCCCTGCGGAGCACTGGTGACCACTTCTCTTTGTCTTTACAACAATGAGGATAGAGATGATGAAATTTAGTGTCCAGCCGAAACCGGTTTGGCTCAGTTGATAGAGCATCTGCCTGCGGACTGACGGGTCCCGGGTTTGATTCTGGTCAAGGGCATGTACCTTGGTTGTGGGCACATCCCCAGTGGGCGAAGTACAAGAGGCAGCTGATCTACGATTCTCTCTCATTGATGCTTCTAACTCTCTGTTCCTCTCTCTTCCTCACTGTAAAAATCAATAATATATATATATTTTTAAAATCTACCCATTTCTATACAAAGGACCAACCAGAATCATAATTAAAAAACAGGTGGAAAAAAGAAAAAGAAATTTAGTGTCCAACCTGGGGCACCTCAGCAGGGAGAAGAGGCCACTAAGTGCAAGGAATTCAGGGCAGCAGCAAACTGAGATGTGTGGTCTCCCTCCCAGGAAGTAGGTTTACCATTTCTCCCCAGCTGCACACAGTGGGACCACAGAGGTCAAGTCCCTTGATCAAGATCACACAGCTAGTCTGGGGGCAGAGACAGGAAAGCAGCCAGGTGTTCTGAGACAGGTCTCCTTAGTGTGATGCTTATGGTCCTTCAGGTTATGACTCAGATGGAGTCAAGTGACCTGGACTTGCCCAGCTGCCCTACGTGGACTCCAGGTGAATGTGTGGGCAAACCCCACAGTTTTGTGCACGAGGCCTTTGCTCCAGGTGAAGTCTTCTCCCCTGTCCTAGCCTGAGACCCTTTAGCTTGAAACTCTTTATCCTCGATGCCACAGCACAGACAGCCCATTTCCTGTTTAAAAAGGGAGCTTTGAATCTCCAGGGATCACCTCCCAAGACCTTGTGGCTTCTGGGTGGACCTTTCTCCTGGTGACCAGGACCTGACTTCATGGCTCTTTTTCCCTGTTGAGTCCTAGATGTCATGCCCTGTGCTCTCTGGTCTTTGAGTGACAGCAGTGATACAGTAGGTGTCTAATTAGCTGTGTAACTTCTGTGAGGAATAGGATTTGCGATTCTAGGATGAATTATCTCATTACACAACACGTTTACTTACTAGATTTACTGAGGAAGAGAAACACATTTTAACTAGAAAAATTAATAAAGGAAACCCTAAACCCAGGCATCAGCCTGACATCCTGGTGCTAACACCGAGTCCTTTGTGTTTCTGGAGAGACATGTGGCATCACCATAGGTGGGACCAGTTCACAGGAGCAAAAAAGTTGGAGTTCTGACATCCAGGCGCCGGGCCACCACTGTCCTCCTCTCCCCACAGTAAACATCAGCTTGATCCCATCTGACCCGGATCCATCTAATGCCTGGGGACAGGGACCGGATTTGGAAGCTGAGCCAGGATCAGGTGCCACCTCCAGCCAGTTCTCCTTGGCTCCTTTATGAAAATACTGACCTTACATAACTTGTTGTTTCCACCAAATGTGTGGTCAAATATTTAATTCCCACACACTTGTGACAGTCCATAAGGCTCATTGGATTTCCATTATCTTCTCAATCTGTTATTCATTTTCCCTCCAAGTCATACTGGTATTTCCTCCAAACCATAGGCCTCCAGAGTGAGCACCTCTGGCTCTTCAGGGAATGGCTAGGGGACTATGACAGATCCCAGAATACTTCTTTCCAATGCCAGAACCGTGACTCTTTCCTGGGGCCGATGCTCCCCTCCATCTGCCCACCATGAGGACATTTGTCCATGTCCAGAGGTACCTTTGTGTCCTCACAGGTGGGTGATGTGGTATTAGCATCCACTGACAGGGTTGGGTAAGACCAGGGTTGATGCTA